CCTCTACATCACCCCCCCCCTTTCTACATCACCCCCCCCCCTTCTACATCACCCCCCCCCTTTCTACATCACCCCCCCCTTCTACATCACCCCCCCCTTCTACATCCCCCCCCTCCTACATCACCCCCCCTTCTACATCACCCCCCCCTTCTACATCACCCCCCCCTTCTACATCACCCCCCCTTCCTACATCACCCCCCCCCTTCTACATCACCCACCCCCCTTCTACATCACCCCCCCCTTCCTACATCACCCCCCCTTCTACATCACCCCCCCTTCTACATCACCCACCCCCTTTCTACATCACCCCCCCCCCCCTTCTACATCACCCCCCCCTCTACATCACCCCCCCCTTCTACATCACCCACCCCCTTCTACATCACCCACCCCCCTTCTACATCACCCACCCCCTTTCTACATCACCCCCCCCCTTCTACATCACCCCCCCCCCTCTACATCACCCCCCCCTTCTACATCACCCCCCCCTTCCTACATCACCCACCCCCCCTTCCTACATCACCCCCCCCCCTTCCTACATCACCCCCCCCTTCTACATCCCCCCCCTTCCTACATCACCCCCCCCTTCTACATCACCCCCCCTCCTACATCACCCCCCCTTCTACATCACCCCCCCCCTCTACATCACCCCCCCCTTCTACATCACCCCCCCCCCTTCTACATCACCCCCCCCCCCCTTTCTACATCACCCCCCCCTTCTACATCACCCCCCCCCTCTACATCACCCCCCCCCTTCTACATCACCCCCCCTTCCTACATCACCCCCCCCCCTCTACATCACCCCCCCCTTTCTACATCACCCCCCCCCTTCTACATCACCCCCCCCCCTTTCTACATCACCCCCCCCTTCTACATCACCCCCCCCTTCTACATCCCCCCCTTCCTACATCACCCCCCCTCCTACATCACCCCCCCCTTTCTACATCACCCCCCCCTTCTACATCACCCCCCCCCTCTACATCACCCCCCCCTTCTACATCACCCCCCCCCCCCTTCTACATCACCCCCCCCTTCCTACATCACCCCCCCCCTTTCTACATCACCCCCCCCTTCTACATCACCCCCCCCTCTACATCACCCCCCCCCTTCTACATCACCCCCCCTTCCTACAACACCCCCCCCCCCTTCTACATCACCCCCCCTTCTACATCACCCCCCCCCCCTTCTACATCACCCCCCCCCCTTCTACATCACCCACCCCCCTTCTACATCACCCCCCCTTCCTACATCACCCCCCCCCCCTTCTACATCACCCCCCTCCCTTCCTACATCACCCCCCCCTTCCTACATCACCCCCCCCCCTTCTACATCACCCCCCTCCCTTCCTACATCACCCCCCCCTTCTACATCACCCCCCCCTCTACATCACCCCCCCCCTTCTACATCACCCCCCCTTCCTACATCACCCCCCCCTTCTACATCACCCCCCCCTTCTACATCACCCCCCCCCCCTTCTACATCACCCCCCCCCCTTCTACATCACCCACCCCCCTTCTACATCACCCCCCCTTCCTACATCACCCCCCCCCCTTCTACATCACCCCCCTCCCTTCCTACATCACCCCCCCCCTTCTACATCACCCCTCCTTTCCTACATCAACCCCTCCCTTCCTACATCACCCCCCCCCCCTTCCTACATCACCCCCCCCCTTCTACATCACCCACCCCCCTTCTACATCACCCCCCTCCTTTCCTACATCAACCCCTCCCTTCCTACATCACCCCCCCCCCTTCCTACATCACCCCCCCTTTCTACATCACCCCCCCCCCCCCTTTCTACATCACACCCACCCCCTTTCTACATCACACCCACCCCCTTTTACATCACCCCCCCCTTCAACTTCACCCCCTCTTTCTACATCACCCCCCCCTTTCTACATTACCCACCCCCCCTTCTACATCACCCCCCCCCCCCCACCACCGTGCCACCCCCTTCCCGCTCATCTGACTACCTAATTCTAGACACACCCGTCATAACTCACCAAACCACATGACCGCAACACTCCCCCGCATCCCGCACAACACGCGTCACATTTGCCAATATCACTTATAACCGCACTCTCTTCGTGCAAGCTGCGTTGCTTTCACTCACGTGTAACTGGCACTTGACTTTTTATTTTACCAGGTTAAGGCTGCAAGTTCACAATAACATAACAAGCTCTTTTTCAGAAGCGACCTGGCCACAAATGATAGCTTAAGGAGAAGTGGTTTATCGCGTGGACATTTACAGCAGCCAAATACTCTAAATGCATGTTTCTAAATGTGGAGGGGAAAATAGGACCCGGAGAAAAATCAACGCGACCACGGGGAGAGAGACAAGCAAACACCAAATATAGAGCAAATGTCAGGATTGAACCCACGCCCTCCTGTATATTAGGCGCGGTCGTTAACATCTCGCCACCGTAGCGCCCCAATTAATTATATAATCATGCCGACCTTATGTCACTCATTTGATAAATCGCTGCTAAACATTTTGACCTAATCCACCATCTTAAGAGTTTTGCTTTACAATGCATGTCATATAAGGACTAATCCCACCGGTAGGGCCAAAAATAACGCTTTCTCCCCGAGGCTCGGAGTGCAACACAACCAAGTGGAAACTATTCACGGGGCACTGGTGGAAAAGGTCACAAGCCTCCACACTTAGCTAATGATTTGTTTTCTTATTCTGCAGCCAACAAGGAGTGTTGTGTTTGAATACAAAAAAAAAGTGAAAAGGCCCTCTGTGCCACCACTTGCTTGTAAATGGTGCACCTCTGGTTCCGTGCGCTTTGAACATCGCTGTTGGAACGCTGCCTCGTTGACGGATGCAATGATATGCGCAGCAGATGTACATCTGGGATTGTTTACTGCCTCTTGAGCGCAAATAGATTTTTCTCATGCGCTTGTTTTCCATAAACAAGAGTGCAGGATTTGCCGAGTAGGCACAGTAAATGACCATTCTTAATATACAAAGAGCTTAGAAGGCACATGTTGAATTGGGATTAATTGTGGGCTCTATATCTCCAAGCAGGCGGTGCTGTCGACTCGTAATCGAAAGGCTGCAAGTTCAAATCACAGTAGGCGGCTGACAGTATATTTGTCTCTTTCTGGGGTCACCAAAATAAGTACCGCTTTGTCGGTTTAGTCAACATTCATCGTTCTAAAGAGATACTCATCGCTGCTATTAAAATACGTATTTTCTACCAATGGCTCAGGGCTGCCGAAACAAGATGAGCACCAGCCCCATGTTCAGATATGCAGACAGAAAACGATCGCGTTTGGACTCAAGTTATAACGTGGAGATGAAATCCACAATTCTAGTGAATGGAGTTTTCCGTAGATTGTCTACCAATGCGTTTTTCGGTTGCTGCTAATTTTTTTTAGCAACTCAAGACGGGTGGTGGGGCCGAACCAACCTTGGTTGATATTTAAAGCATTAAAACCTCAATTTATTCATTAAAATTAACTGGTACACTCCCGATGTGTGCATCGAATCATGCACGTACAAATCGGTTATTTCCAACTCAAACAAAGAGAGCAAAAATAAATCAAACTGATTTGCAACCCCCAAACTGACAACTGAATTGTTAATGTAACGATTGTTCATAGGCATTCATTTGTCGGCATGGATGCCTTCGAATACTGTCGAGACGCGGTTAGTGTAGTGCACGGAGGTGTTAGGTATTGAAGAAGTTGCAGTAAAATACAACAGAAATAACTTGCAATACACTCAAGCGAGAACCGGATGCAAGCCGACAGGGAATAGCAGCAAAAAGCTCTGCTTTCCACTCCTCTTTCTTTGCCAATTTATTATGGGTGTGAAATTTACACTACACAATGCAATTAAATGCTTAGTCATTTACGTGTATTTAACTGGAGTCCAATAGAAGGGATTTAATGGCTCATTAGCTAAGAAAGCCAAGTACTGATGGTATGAAGAATATTTACTTTGGTTGGAGATATGGCCTTCCAGTGCCCACTTTCACGGTCAAGTTTGATAACCACGCTACGTGGTGGGGTGGGAAGGGGTGATGCCGTACTGCAGTGCAACTCGCAAGGGATTCTGGACTTCGGGAAATCTGCTGTTGAATTTCTTGCCGACCTCATTAGCAGTAGGGACCACTATTTAAAGTTTCCGCAAAACAGCGGGATTGAGTTTATGGGCAACAGTGAAGTTTTTTTTCCTTCGTGTTCTTTTTCAAAGCAGGTCAAAGGGTCAGTGTCTCCATTGTTAGATGATGGACGTAGCAAGAACAGTGATCTGTGAGATTACACATTCAAAATCTGGCAGCTACAAGTCTATTAATGGGGTCTCAGAAAACACGTCAGTAATGGCTCAACTTGGCCGCCAATGACCACACATAAGAGGTCATATTAAATGTGATTTGCCATTACAAAATTCAAGCTCTTACTGGTTGGATTTCCAAGTGACAAATGATAAGTGCAGGATATTGATCCAGCGCTCTCTCTTGCAAATTCGACAATCCTGGTATCTCTCAAGTTTGCACCTGGTTAAACAAAAACTTAAAAAAACTTGTAAATGTAAGAAGGCTATTGAAGCGAGATGAGAAGTAGTCATTTGGGTCAAGCCAGTGTGAATTTCCACTTGGCCATCTGAACGAGAATATTTACTTTTTAATTCCAATAAATCTAAGGATTCTCATGTAAACGTACTATCGCTTGCTTTCTCTGGCTCGTATTTTCCCCGCTGTTGCTAGGGGACAGGGGGTATAGCATTTGCGTGACAGTGCCGTGCGAGACTAACATTTCAAAAACATATCGTCACCATCTACTGCCTGCGTATTGCAGTGGTCTTGGGGGCTTTAATTTAAATGGACACAACAGACGAACACGTCCACAATGGCTGCGTGTCGCTACGAGAGCGCGCTGTTGCAACATTGTTCTTTGCGGCAACTGGAACTGGCATTGAGGTGTTCTGCTGAGACTCCCCGTGGGGGGAGCAGGGGGAGGGGATAGGGGGCCGGGGGGGGGGGGCTTACCTGCAGTTGGGAGGGGGGTCCAGTGTTATCTCCGCAAGCTCCTTCTGAATCCTGCGAAGACAAAAATCGCTCGTTTAGCCTTAACAGACTTTTGGGGCAAGTGCTGTTAGCGAGGTGCACTGATGAAGGCTGAGACGGCACACGAGGGGGTGGGTGGCCAGCACCACGCACTGTTGCCTTTGTCTCCCTAGCTGCAATCTTTAGACACCGCACCAAGTACTCATTTGAGGCCGAGTCAGCCCAGGAGAGACCCAGGACCAGTTAAAAAAATCGTCGCAGGAGTTGACTGTGAGCGGGAATCGAACCCGGGTCGCCGGATTCGTAGCGCAGAGCGTTAACCGCTCCACTATCGCTCCTGCACACACACGCATCATGTTCATTAGCTGATTAAATAGAAAATTGATAAGACCAATCTTTGCGTAGTTGGATGAAGACGAATCTGATATCCATAGTTAAGTGAATGATATAAATGGTAATGTATGAACCATATAATTTTCCATCAGATGTAAATGCATTAATGTCATAAGCGATTGGAATGGTCAAAGCACTAGTGGTACACCCATTGAAGACGATGTCAAATTTCGCATAGTAAATCGTGCCTGAAAAAAAACATTGTTACGTACACATTATTTAAAATAACGGTATAATATATGAAACAGCTTGGGATCAACAGGAACTGAAGCAAGATTATGCATGCTCTTTGCCAGCATAATGTTGGGAGTTTTCGTAGGTGCATGCTCGAACTGGAGTAGTGTGCTGACAGTGGACTGTTTTGTTGCTGGTGAGGTGGGGGACTTTGGTTTTGGCATCGTTTAGCTTGAGGAGCTGGGCATCACCAGCACTTTGGCAATATTGGCAAGCGAGACGGGAAGACTTTTGGGGTCAGCGATGGAGCCTGTGGCACACACATGAACATGGGAATTTTCGGACAGATATAGTCGTCCTCCTGTGGAAACAAAGGGGGGTATTTTGAGAGGCAACAACCGTGCCAGGAGAGACGCGTGCCAGAGACAATGACATAGTTGTGGAGATGCTCAATGAGCACGGAGTGGCCAGTGGTGTTACAAGCAGCAGTGAGGTCTCGGAGAACTTGGCAATCGATTCAACTGTGATGAGGAGGTTCATTGACCACACACAGTGGTCTCTGTGGAATGACCTTGGTGGAATGACCTTGATGGAAACCAGACTGTACTGGGATAGGCATTTGGTAATGGAGGAAGAGGTGACCCATTTCCAGGACTTTTCCAAGAAGACAGATTTGAAATCCGATGGACATTTTCAGGAATGTTGGGAGACCAGTGTGGATTTTATTAGGATGGCAGGGTAAGCAGCATGCATTCATGTAGCTGGTAATGAAAAGTTATAGTGTGGGGGAAGGCTGCGTGGGATGATTTCATTAGTCTGACACCACACCATAAACATTGGCATCTAAGAGTTTGTTTTGGGTCCGCAGTTTATCAACAACAACAAAAAACACTAATAGGACGCCCAGAACTTGGCAGATCTTGCAATCCAAGCAGATTTTAACCTGGAAAGTGCTTGGATAGGCGAATGCCAAGCGCAAAGGGTGCGGGGCTAGGTTCTGGGCAACAAAGGAGAGGACAGACAAGGCTACTGTTTTTCTGCACTATAATCTCAAGGTATGCTCCATGCCTTCACCATATCTGCGCTGACCAGGCGTGGAAACATGCGGGTCAAGTAACTCCCATGACCCGCACAGCATCTCAAATGCAGAAGTGGATTGACATAAATAGCTGTACACGTACAAACAAAACGTCAAAAGCTATCACACCTTCAAAGAGTAAAAAGTTAATTTAATTCTGACGCTTTATATAAACCGACTGGGTGGCGATATGGCAGAGCGCTTGACTCGCGGTTGGAAGGGAGCGAGTTTAAACCGCGATCGGTGATAACTCGGGCCCCCATCATTGCACTGGGGTTCACACAGCAATCCCCACTTTGTGGAGTCGACAAGCGTTATGCTACCAAGAGATTAGATGTTAAAATAGGATTGTGTCATTTCCACCTCGGCTCGCGGCCAACCAAAGGAGAATAACACTGCCCCACACTCACTTGAGCCGGGGAGGAGACCCCTTTTGACTTTGTGTTGATGTGCTCACATGAAAAAGACACTTTACGCATTTCAACAGCGGTACGAGCGCACGTTTGTACGCGACCGCGACGCCAAGCTTGGTGTATTCCCAGGGGAGCGCACGGCTTCATCATCTCGTACCGCTTGGCGCTGGTAGACAGCTTGGCGGCTGTTTTGCCCGAGATCTTGGCCTCTTTCTTCTTGGGCTGGGGGGTCTCGGTCTCTGGTGGGGGGGCGTCCAGTTGGTCAGCGTCCGAGCTGCCGCTGCTGGTGCTGGGGCTGTCTGCGCTGCGAGGCTCGCGCCCACTCGACATGGCTGCACACGTTGCACGGCAAAAACACGACGCTTCGGCGGTTACGTTCCAGCGTTTCGAGGAGTCTTTCGCTTGCTTTCTAATCCTTTCCCATCCAATGACGTACGTGTACAGTGTGTACGCGCACGTCATCGGAAGACATACCGAGGCTCCCACAGTGCCATGTGGGAGGGCGTGTGGCACAGTTTGGCGCCAGCTATCATATAGTGTGGTCGTGTCGCTACAGTTCTCTGCGGTGAATACAATGTCTTTAAAAACAATGGTGCTAATGCCTCTCTAAATAAAATTTGAGCTAACCGCTTGCGCGTTCCGAGATTCAGCAGTGAACGGGACACCGACCCTGAAACATTGCAGACTTCTCGGAACGGGAAAGGGTTAAGTCACAAAACAGTCACTTGTTGCAGAAAAAAAAACCGCCACACATGCTAATTTCATTTAATGTGTTATTTTATAGATGTAAAACTTAAAAGAAAAATCAATATGCAACTGGCAATAGGGATTTAGCAATAAACGCCCCTCTGATGTTGACAAGCCAATTACAGGTGCAGAATATATTGATGTGGCAACTATTTATTATCTCCCTGGGAGGCACAGTAGCAGAGTGGCTCAGCTCGCAGTCAGGTTGGGAGTTCACATCCTGACTGATGGATCAACAGTGATAGACCTACGGAGAGACTGATATCTTCCACAGGAATGTGGACATTTCATCACTGCCTCACTGGGTTGCCGATAGATCGTAGTTGCCGATAGATCAGCAACCATGCAATGGTCACGTGAAAATGCACACAGATTGACCTTCCATTGCTTACCTGCTATACACATACACCGTCATCTGCACAGTTGCTGCGTTACACGACATAAGGTGCATCATCCATTTGTTTTTAATCTCCGGATATTGTTCAAGCCCCTCTGGCAAATTACCCATGAGCAGCACCAACAATTCGTGTTACTTGACGTAGGCCGTGGTTATGCATTACGTCAGTCATCTTAGAAGTATTTCGAGTCGAAAATGATCAAATATCATCCCGTCAAATATCATCCTGTTGTAGGTCATCCATAATAATTGAGTCAGGAAAGTTAACCCATTAAGGACAGTAAGCTCCATCACGCACTGAGTTTGCACAAAGAAGTGGGGAAAAATAACATGCATAGATTGAGTAAAAACGCATTCCTCGAAGAATGAGTAACCTGCCATTTCCAAAAAGAGGATTGCTTCTCTTGAGCAGCCACGGCTCGTGTGTCACGTCAAATTATGGCACAAATTCAAGCCTTCCTGAAGCCATCAAATAACAACAGACCTCGGTGGATGATAGTAAATGCAGGCGAGCAAACATCATTGACCTCGAGCACGGTATTGACCTGATGCCTCATGCTTTATTATATTGTAAACTTAACACACGTTGCCTAAATTCCACGGCGGTCAACCACCAAAGTAATTTTTATAAGGAACTGTTTATTAATTTATAGTGGTTGCTGGACCAACTTTATAGGCAAGTATCAATGTTTGTATCATCCCTCTGTTATGCCTTTGCCAATGACATTCCAATGTTGAGTGGATGTGCTGAATCGATCAAATAAAGACGACAGTGGTCTTGTATGCAGTCATGTTTTACCGTGCTGTGTTCGGTCATTCACATAAAACAACAATAACAACTATTGACTTCCCAGGGAGTTGTACTCATTTTACAGATACTCGAGAAATGATAGGCTGACATGAACCTGGAATTTGAACTTGCAACCTTCTGATGTTATGTCAAGCACCTGACTCGATTGTGTAATTTAGCGTTAGAAATATCCAGTGTACATTTTAAAATAAAATATAAAACGACAAGACTAGATTTTATCATCTGTCTGAATCATATTCTAAAAGTATTGGTAATTTGGAGAATTCTCTCATCAAGATTCTGCACCATAGAGCCCAATGCATATCTGACCAGGAACACATAGGCAGTGAACTCAAGCACGTACACCAAGCTCTTAAGGCTAATGGTTACTCCGACTATACAATCCGCAATGTTATCACTCAAACCATGAAGAAGGACCCTCTTGAGGAGCATTTCAATACCATCACTTTACCCTACATTGCGGGGATGACGAAAAAGATCTCCAAAATCTTGAATAAACACAAGATCCAGGTCCGTTTCAACACATTACATAAAATCCGTGATCTGGTTCCGTCTGTAAAAGATGTGATTCCGGACATACAGTACCCTGGTGTCTACAAACTAAGTTGCCTCTGTGGTAGTAGTTACAATGGAGAAACCAAACGACATGTCTCGGATCGCATTCGTGAACACAAAGCAGACCTTAAACACGGTAGGACCAACACCTCGGCCGTGGCAGATCACTGTTATAATTCAGTAGGCTCATATGACATTGACTTCTCCAAGACAGAGGTTCTTTGCAAGCCATCCGGCTACCATGAGAGATTCGTTCATGAGGCTATCCACATATACAAACACAGAGACAATTTCAACCGAGAAGATGGATTCTGGCTTAGCAATCATTGGAAGGATTTGATAAACCATTTCGGGTCTCAATTGATTGTTCACGCCTACGGTGGCTTTCAGACAGCATACATTCATTTTTCGTCTCCCCCCTCCTCTTTTCTGAACATAGATGGACTCGTCCATCTAAACAAACTGTCAAATCGCTATCCGTGGTGCTAACGTTTAAAAAAAAAATACAAACCGCCACTTCTTTCAAATGTTCTTGCTATTGGGTTTCACACCTGATGATGACTGCTTGTGTTGAAGTCGAAACGTCGTGAGAATTTTATTGTTTTATATATATTTTATTATTGTATTGTTTCCCTTCAACGTGACTTTACCGAAAGAACCAAGAATATGAATCACTGCAGTCACAAAAGCTTTAAATCAAAAGGTGACAATAGTTGGTGCGATTATTCGCAAATGGAAAAACACAAAAGAACTGTCAATCTCCCTCGGCCTGGGGCTCCATGCAAGATATCACCTCGTGGAGTTGCAATGATCATGAGAACGGTGAGGAATCAGCCCAGAACTACACGGGAGGATCTTGTCAATGATCTCAAGGCAGCTGGGACCATAGTCACCAAGAAAACAATTGGTAACACACTACGCCGTGAAGGACTGAAATCCTGCAGCGCCCGCAAGGTCCCCCTGCTCAAGAAAGCACATATACATGCCCGTCTGAAGTTTGCCAATGAACATCTGAATGATTCAAAGGACAACTGGGTGAGAGTGTTGTGGTCAGATGAGACCAAAATGGAGCTCTTTGGCATCAACTCAACTCGCGGTGCTTGGAGGAGGAGGAATGCTGCCTATGACCCCAAGACCAACATCCCCACCGTCAAACATGGAGGTGGAAACATTATGCTTTGGGGGTGTTTTTCTGCTAAGGGGACAGGACAAATTCACCGCATCAAAGGGATGATGGATGGGGCCATGGTACCGTCAAATCTTGGGTGAGAATCTCCTTCCCTCAGCCAGGGCATTGAAAATGGGTCGTGGATGGGTATTCAAGCATGGCAATGACTCAAAACACACGGCCAAGGCAACAAAGGAGTGGCTCAAGAAGAAGCACATTAAGGTCCTGGAGTGGCCTAGCCAGTCTCCAGACCTTAATCCCATAGAAATATGTGGAGGGAGCTGAAGGTTCGAGTTGCCAAACGTCAGCCTCGAAACCTTAATGACTTGAAGAAGATCTGCAAAGAGGAGTGGGACAAAATCCCTCCTGAGATGTGTGCAAACCTGGTGGCCAACTACAAGAAACGTCTGACCTCTGTGATTGCCAACAAGGGTTTTGCCACCAAGTACTAAGTCATGTTTTGCAGAGGGGTCAAATACTTATTTCCCTCATTAAAATGCAAATCAATTTATAACATTTTTGACATGCGTTTTTCTGGATTTTGTTGTTGTTATTCTATCATTTCTTTGTCAGTGAGCAAACGTACAAAATCAGCAGGGGATCAAATACTATTTTCCTTCACTGTATATACAGATGTCACTTTAAAGAAGTAGTTCTGACATCTTCCAAAGGTTCTTCTCCAACACGGTCATGCACTGCTCTGCAAGATTCCCCAATGGATTGCATGTCGAAGAGGGCATGAATAATGCGCACCTGGAATCAGAGTTAGTAGGCCCTTTCCAGGCTTTTGGACAGTTGTAAATACGTGGGTGTGTGGTGATGTGGCAAAGCACACACACCTTACAATCAGATGGGCTTTAGAGTTCAAATCCTGGACGGAGGTCACCCTAAACCTGTCCTCCCACAGTAATGAATACATTTAGCATCTCTTTATGCAGATCTTTAACAGCTGTCCTTCAGACAACCAATGGAGGGTGAGCACTGCTTGCAAGCTTGTGCAATCAGGAATGCAATTTGGCTGACACGAATATTCTACGAGGTTGTACTGTGGACAGGCGTGTCCCTGAAATGAGAATGGACCGTTTTAAATGACGAGAAAATGTGCTCAGAAAGAGATTTAAAGCAGATGTATTGATGATATATTTCTTAAGGCTAACAGAGACACAGTGTGCATTAGCCAAGTGTGATGTCACTTCATAAGTTAAACTGTAGAAATGCAATAACTCAAAAACACAGTTAAAAAAAAAATCAGCATCACAGTTATTCCAGATATTTAAAATTTTGGAAGCGCTCAGTCTCTTGCACCTTTTTCTTTCAGATTTCACCAGATATTAAATCCAGCATCAAAAGCAACAACACGCGATACAAAAATGCCACACTGCATCACATGCGCTCATGTCCTGTTTACCGTCTTTAGAAGTATAAATGCACACCGGCCCCAAGACCTTTTGAGGAATTCATGTTAGAAATGCATCAATTATTAACCATCAACTACAAAACAATTGTAAATATTCATAAACTGTATTTGCCTGCTCAGAGAAGTACAGAGTAGAGAGGAGCTCTTATCTGTTCATGGCCCTGGGCCAGCAGTGCAAATTATATTCTCATGGCGGAGCCCAGTGCCTCCAAGAAACAACTACTGTGGGACTCCCCC